TAGATAGATAGATAGATAGATAGATATGAACAGACTTAGCTTAAGTAAATTTAATGGACGGACACTTTTTTCATAGTGAGTGTGTAATCTTTTGGCTAACAATAGCATATGTTTTCTTTTCTGACTAAAGACGTCCCAACGACCAACTCTATTATTTTTTCAATCTAGAATTCTCTTTTCCCTACTGTGAAGGGGGGGGTGGAGTGGAAAGCACTTCTCTTCTGAAGCTATCACTGGAAAAACAACACCAAATAATAATAATAATAATCCGAGGAAGAAGTTTAAAGTTTCATCTTGGCTTCAAATTTTCCTGGAACGAAAATGCAAGTTAAAACGTTAAAAAGGAGCCAAGCTCTGCAAGCAGCATGAAAGAAAACTGAATCAAAAACATCGACGAGTCCAAGACAATGCAATACGAGACGAGGAAGCAAATCACCTGCCATGTTTGATAACAAAACACAAATGCTATCTTTCTTTACCAATGTTGCAATACACTTGACGCCTGGATTTCAAGAAGTGGAAAAAATGCGCCTTTTTTTTTTAATGGCGTTACTGATACCAGAAAGTTTTGCGTAGGACCGTTCTTAGCTTAATAATTGGCATCATTATTTCTTCTCTTTGAGCTCAGGAATTTCTCTTCGTTTTTAGCAATTGTGAACAATATTTGATAGCAAAATAAAATTATTTCAAGAATATCCCCCCAAAATTGTATTTTCTCAGTTTAAAATAATCTGTTAAAAATACTCCATGTGTTATTTGAAAAATAAAATTTTCTTTTTCCTCAAGGGTATTAGCAGGTAAATGAATGTAATGAATTTGACTAGGCTCTTTGATTCCTCAATTCGAGCCGCTATCCATTACTGCACCGTGCCTGCTTCTGGCAGCTGTAATGAATGCATCTACCTATTTGTTCTTACCCTTATTCAGGAAAGCAGCTGACCTGCCACTGCTGGGCCTATCACTAGGGTTCATTTTTTCTTTCTAGGATTTTCCTGAAAAATTATTGACCCATCTCCTTACTGAGTTTATAACAAGCGTAGCCTGTCCATAAACACCCCTAACCTATTGTGAGAATTTAAACACATTTCTTTCCAATAATATAAATCCTGTAACGCCACTTTGGATTCTGCTGGTTTCCAGAAGGGTACTCATTTTGAAAGAGTATTATGGGTAGATAAAGAGAGGGTAACCTCTCTAATCAGAATGTTCCCTCAGGATTCTAGACACTTGAGAGTTTATAGAGAAAATAACCATATATATTCTGATTAATAATTTTGAAAATGAATTAGAAATGCAGCCTTTACAGGATTTATTATTGGTAGACAGTATAATAACAACATAGATAAGTATTAGAATGTCTGACGCTCAACTTCTCGAGAGCAGCTCTTTGCGACTACTCGGTCTCATATTGATTGCTGACCTGAGATGGAACAAATACATTAAGTCAATTGCTTCGTTCACCGCAAGGAAAGTTGGCTCCCTGTGTCGCGCCAGGAAATTTTTCTCGCCGGAGTCGATCCTTCAAATCTACAAATCAACCATTCGCCCTTGCATGGAGTATTGCTGCCATATATGGTCTGGTGCCCCTTCTGTTTGCCTCAGGGTTCTTGATAAGATCCAAAGACGGATATGCAATGTAATTGGCCCTGATCTGGCATCTCGCCTCCCTCTGTCTTTTTTACAAATACTTTCACGGTAAGTCCTCCGATGAGCTGCTTTCGCTGTTTCCCAGATTTCACGAATTTAAGCATTCTACTAGGCTGGCATCTCGCTTACACCCTTTCACTGTCGAAACTGTTAAATATAGCCGTCTCTTCTAATCCAATAGCTTCATGTCTCGCACCTCTCGCCTGTGGAACTCCCTCTCCTCTTCCTGTTTCCCTGATAGCTATAATCTCAAACTGTTCAAATGTAATGTCAATCGACATCACCAGATGCCTTGATCTATCCCCTATCCTTCTCTTCATCCTTTCCTCTATCACTCCTATTTGCTCTAGCTCCAACTCACTGTAACCCCTTGCGTGCTAGTGGCTTCCCACCTTACTTGGGGTGAAACGCTTAAAAAAAGTATATGACATAGTGTTGATAGCAGACATAGAAAGGAAACTACAGGAATGAATAGGAGCAGATAAGTTCGTCTATCGTCCGGTTCACACTCCTCCCAGTCTTTTGAACAGTAGAGGTTGATCGCTTATGTCCTGTTCAGATATTGTTATATATTAATTTCGTTTGCGCGTTTTTATTACTGTATACCTACTTTTGCACACACACTGTATCTTATACATTATGTATATATTATATTATTTATATATTTATATATATACATATATAATAAAAAAATATATAAATAATATAATATATACATAATATATAAATATATTATGTATTTTACATTATATGTGTACATATATATAAATATGCATGCATGTCTATATATATGTATTTATATGTAGGTATGTATGCGTGTATATATATATGTATATATATATATGTATGTATGTGTATATGTATGTATGTGTATATATATATGTATGCGTGTATATATATACACATACATACATATACATATATACATTATTGATATGTTTGTTATTGATATATAGATTTTTGATATGTTATTATAGATATTGTTATATAATAAATACAATATATTTTGTGCGCGCGTTCGTATTACTGTATACCTACTTTTGCACACACCCTGTATATTACATATTATGTATACATTATAATATTTATATATTTTAGATTATGCATATATATATATATATATAATCTAAAAATATATAATATAATATGAACATAATATATAAATATATTATTTATATATTTTACATTATATGTGTATATATATATGTATGTATGTGCATATATATATGTATGTATGTGTACATATATATATATATACATAATATATAAATATATTAATATATTTTACATTATATGTGTGTATATATATATGTATGTGTATATATATATATATATATGTATGTGTATATATGCATGCTTCATTAAAAACGACAGACAAGGTACTACGGTTGAGCTTTTTATTTAATTTTTCTTGTGTTCTGACAAGAGCTTTCTTTTCTGGACAAAGAGTGTGTAAGAACTGTCCGAATGTTCTGTGTTTCCGAGAGCTTTCGGCTATACCTTTAGCCATTATCAAGGATGATTCAATTATCAGCTTAGTAGAGTGTGTGTGTTCTGTGTATGTTCAGTGTGTGGTAGTGATGTTTTTAGTTTCCGAATACGGTTAGCACATTGTGGCTTTGTTCATAGTTAATATTGTTAAGGGTTGGCTTTTTCTTTTTTATTATTAGAGCTTCCATTATTTTTAGTCTTTTTTTGCAAGTGGATGCAGTTAATATATTTGTGTTTTCTACTAGTATGTTCCTAATAGTGTCGGGTAAATCTGAGTGTGTGTTTAAATGTGTTCTGATGGAACTGTGATCAGATAGGTGTAATGTAAGACGTCTGGATAAACATGTGGTTGTGTAGCCGATGTAATTATTTATTATATATTCAACCTTAGTACCTTGTCTGTCGTTTTTAATGAAGCATGCATAAAGGAAGGATTGCTGCCTAAATATACAAATGTGTATATATATATATATGTATGTAAGTATGTATGTGTATAAGTATATGTATGTGTGTATATATATGTATGTGTGAGTGTATTTATATATATATATATATATATATATATATATATACACACATCCATACATGTATATATATATTATTGATATGTTTATTATTGATGTTTCTATAATCATTACAATACGTTTTGTGTGCACGTTTTGTTTTCATAAGCGTATACCTACGTTTTTCATTCCCTTGTATAAAGAAATAAATTTGTTTAGTTTATTTCATTTTTTTATTTATTTATTTATTACAAATGTAAAGAATTTGAAAATAATCTGCAAGCATCCCTGAAAGCATAAAATGATTCTCAAAGACTCATCGATCATACTTTCCAAGATTGTTAGACTTTCCTCTCCAACAACTCTTTTGGTATCACACGTAAGTAGGTGTTTGTTTTCATCAGCGTGAAGAACAGCATCAACAATTATTGCAGTCTCTCAAAAAAGCTTAAGTTGGCCCATCCAAAGCAAGAGAGAAAAACAATAAAATATTCAATTTGTCATTTAATTCTTTCGTTCTTTTTTCCTTTCTTTCTTTCTTTCTTTGTCTTATTTTCTTTATTTATCTTTCTGTCATTATTTTCATACTCCAGTCATTTTCCATATTCTTCCTTTCTTTCTCGGATCTTATTCCTTTTTGCTTGTTTGATTCTTCTTTCTTTCTTTCTTTCTTTCTTTCTTTCTTTCTTTCTTTCTTTCTTTTTCATACTCCTGTCGTATTCCATATCCAATTCATCTCATTCTTTCTTTCTTTCTTTCTTTCTTTCTTTCTTTCTTTCTTTCTTTCTTTCTTTTTCTTTCTTTCTTTCTTTCTTTCTTTCTTTCTTTCTTTCTTTCTTTTTCATACTCCTGTCGTATTCCATATCCAATTTATCTCATTCTTTCTTTCTTTCTTTCTTTCTTTCTTTCTTTCTTTCTTTCTTTTCTTTCTTTTCTTTCTTTCTTTCTTTCTTTCTTTCTTTCTTTCTTTCTTTCTTTCTTTCTTTCTTTTTCTTTCTTTCTTTCTTTCTTTCTTTTTCTTTCTTTCTTTCTTTCTTTCTTTCTTTCTTTTTCATACTCCTGTCGTATTCCATATCCAATTCATCTCATTCTTTCTTTCTTTCTTTCTTTCTTTCTTTCTTTCTTTCTTTCTTTCTTTCTTTCTTTCTTTCTTTCTAAATTGTCTTCTTTTCTTCATTTATTTCCTCCAAAACATTATTATTCATTTTTCTTTCATTCTTCTTTTTCTTTCCCCTTTTTTCTTTTAATTGCTTCCTCATTTTATGTACAAGTTTAAAAAAATGTCTGCCAATAAAATGACCTATATTTGACTAGAACAATAATCAATGAATCAGCTATGTTCAGTATTTATCAATAACGATGGAGATCTCTCTCTCTCTCTCTCTCTCTCTCTCTCTCTCTCTATCTATCTATCTATCTATATATCTCCTGGACCAAATTTATATTTCTAACGTCTCCGCCTGATTTCTCTCTCTCTCTCTCTCTCTCTCTCTCTCTCTCTCTCTCTTGGCCTCCATGAGAATAAATAGGATTGTCTATCGCCCGGTTCATACCCTACCTGAATTTTTGAACAGGATTTCTCCCCTGTTTCGTGTTTAGAATTGGGTTTCCGGTTGCATCTAAAGTCGACTTCAATTCTATACATGTAATGTCTCCGCCTAAAATATTTTGCTAATTAAATCTTGATCTCTTCAAGTCTAGAATTAGCTTTTTATCTTTTCTATTATCTTGCCCTTTCTTACGCTAATAGAACCCCACACAGTAACCCTCTACCTTGAGTGGCCCTTGAATGGGATGAACATTAGTATAAAAAGCTTTTAATATCTATCTATCTATCTATCTATCTATCTATCTATCTATCTATCTATCTATCTATATTTTTATCTTTTTATGTATCTATATATCTATTTCTGTTAATATCTCTCTCTATATGTCCCTCCCTCCCTCTCTCTCTCTATCTCTCTCTCTCTCTCTCTCTATCTATCTATCTATCTATCTATCTATCTATCTATCTATTATTTTATCTGTTTATGTATCTATATGTCTATTTCTGTTAATATCTCTCTCCCCCTCTATCTCTATCTATCTCTTTCTGTCAATATCTATCTATCTATCTATCTATCTATCTATCTATCTATCTATATATATATATATATATATGTATATGTTTATATAAACAAAAAGAAAGAACAGTAAGATATATAATCCAGTATTCTTATAGATATTTTTATTTTTACAAAATAGTGCTCAATGTAAATTTACAAAGCATTAATATTATAAATTAATTGATTTAAAATATGTTTTTTCCGCTACACAGTTCTAACCATGTTTCAAAAATGGAAGCTAATAGCCCCGAATTTAATTTTGTAATTAAATTAAAGACAGCAGTTCCATTTTCTCCTCAAGCGAATTGGAGTAACTTTTAAAATTACTGGGTTTTAAAGACACAGCTAAAATCATAATTCATGTTTCCAAGGTTACAGATGAATTCATTTTACTAGACGAGAGGTGTCTGGGTGTTCAATATGTCTATATTTTAATGTATCAGTTATTGTTACGTTTTGGTAGTGGGTAGGGATGTATTTTTCAATGAAAAAAAATGTCGTTTGGATTTTTTTTTAATTTTATTGTTAACGGCAAAGATTCTTACGGCATTTTTTCCTTCGTATATTTGAAGATTTTTAGGGGGTGTTTAGGTTAGAATACTTTTTATTTAACTACGATTTGAAATATTTTTACTTTTAATTTTTAATATACTATATTTCTTTTAAGAACAATTAAATGTAATGAGAATCCCTTACAGTTTGCAGAATTATTATCACATCAAGTATATTACGATTTTTAAATTTTTTATATTTAAATATTATTTAAGTAAAATATTTTTTCACTTACGGCAAAAAAGCTAATTCATTTCTCTGTTTTAGTAAACTTTATTTATTTATTTAATCACAATTTAAAAAAGTTTAGGTTAGAATTCATTTTAATTAACTAGAATTTTAATTACAACTTTAAAATATTTTCATTGTTAGTTTTTATAGACTATATATATATATATATATATATATATATATATATATATATCACAGGCCTCTCCTTATCTATCATTTTATCCATTTATGTATGTATATATCTATTTCTGTTAATATCTATCTATCTATCTATCTATCTATCTATCTATTTCAATTTCATATTATCTATTTAGCTATCTGCCTTGTAATCTTTTTCCTTTTCATCGTCCTATGTTATACTCTCTCTGTCTCTCTCTCTATCTCCCCCTCTCTCTCTCTCTCTCTCTCTTTCTACGCATGCGAACATCCAATCTGACCTACATACCTACCTCTGTATTGACTTATCCACTGACCTACATTAATCAAGCGGCAGGTGCACGAAGGTGTTTACGCAAGGAACGAAAAACTGAATTCTTTCCTTATAATTCTTAAAAAGCAAAAGCAAAAAAAAAACAAACTATGACATGCCTTTTTTCTTAACCCAACCAGCAAATCTAGAGGAAGCTTTTCCAGAATAAAAACAAATTCATGATCCAATTTAAATGTCGAACGTCTACCGAATAAGAGACTTTCCGTTGTCAGACGCCAATATTTCATTCAAAGAAAATATTGTCAAGATATCTAGCAAAGGAACACGAACAGCGATACAGCCATGGATAATGAAGTGTTTCTAAAATAGACAGAAAAATAGTTATGTTTGTAAATAGCTAGGCTGAACACCTTAAGTAGTTCAATTTTTATTAATTTCATTCAGTTAGCATATGTATATTTTTTCTTCTTTCTAATTTGTTTGTTTTCAGGTGTTGATTGTCAATTGCAAATAGATGTCCTCTACCACCTTGATCTTCAGATCTCATATCCCCACTGCAGAATTTCAGACAACTTGTCATATCTTCAATTTATCACAATGCCGGATACTTGATAACAAAAGTGATAAACGCGCAAACAAAAGGATAAAGTAACTCAATGAGATTGGCTAAACTATATATCCAAACACATACTTTTAAAAAAGCAATGTAAAAGTTTAAAATTTTAGTGTCCCTCTTCTTCATACGTATGTGTAATTAGATCAACGTAAGCACAATTAATTCATAAAAAGTTCGAGATTAAAACGCGTCACATGTATATTCTTTCTTCTTTGCCATTAATTTCCATAACATTGTTCTTGTATATAGAAGACCAGAGTTAGTATTTAGTTTGTTAAAAATTTGATAGTATCCAAAGCGAGGCTGGAAACCTGGCAAGATAAATAAAGATTTATAAAAATGTCTCACAGTAATGAAGGTATTAACCTAAAAACTAATCTTGACTCTTTATTTTGCTAAAACCAAATCGACAGATTCATTTGGATTCATGTTTCAAAGCATAAAAGAACAAAAAAATTAGAAAAGAGTTATAAATTGATTTGTCATTGAGGTTAAAAATGGCGTCCTCTGAGAGACAACGAAGGAGACGAACAATTTTCTCTGCACGAATCATTTTATGGGAACAAATTGTCTGCCTTTTGTGTTCAGCGCATAAGAGGAGGAGACTCCAAAAATAATTCCTCCTATTTATTTTCACGGAAACAACAACAGATCATTTATTCACTTAGCACATTTTGCGCCGCCGCTGTGATCACCACTTCCCTCCATCTCGCAATTGTGGTTCATGGTGACATTCAAGGCAAAATGGTGCAATGGCTTGTTGGCTCACTTTTGCACCAGGGATGTTGAGGTTATCCAGTCCCTCCTCTCAGAGGTGGATTTGTTTTTTAACTTCTGGCTTTTACCTAAAGATGCAGCAAGTGGTTTGAATTCAGAGCTTCCTTCTCCTAGACTGATTGCCACCCAAGACCACAGAAGCAGCTATTTTACCCATAGCTGGAGGGTAGAGAAGAGATGTATTCATACCTTTCCTGAGGATATTAGCGCGTAAATGAATATAATGAACTCGAGTAGAATTCGAATTCTGCCATGTAATTTTTACTATTACATGTTATCTTCTATGTGTCGTAACTCTTTAGGACGTGGGCGATCATAGCTCTCCACAACTTTCATTTTTTTTATTCCTCTTAGGATTATCTTTTCCTTATCCCACCCAATACCAGATTCTGCGATCCATTTACACAAGCTCCTTATGTAGGTTACTTGTTGCCATCTCCCATTCCTCTTTATTTCAATATGGCCTGTGAGTGTTAAATCCTCCAAGTCATGTTTCCTCAGATGCGTCATAGAAGTTTCAACTCTCTCTACCTGATTCTATCTATAAGTCTCCTTTTTAGTAACATTTCCCTTAAGCGAGTAAAAAAAAACAGCTTTCGAGAAAGAATTAGCGATTCTTTTGTTACGAATACGCATCTTGAAATAAGGTTCTTGTCGGGTTGGTGATGTCATAATTATCATGTAAACCTAATCATTATAAAAATATCGATTTACCACCCAATGATAGTTTTCTATCTGAGATTGGACCATGTGACCCTTGTGATGTCTGATATTTCTTCATCTTAAGCGTTATTAGAACAAAATGTCGGTTGATGTATCCTTCGAACCTTTGGGAGATAATGTTTAGTATGATTATCTGTACTTCTCAAACTGATATCTTTATTTTTGGTAGATAGATAGATAGATAGATAGATAGATAGATAGATAGACTGGAAGATATAAAAAAAATAGGTAGGAACTACAGATTTATCGACGGCGTCATTTTTATCTATCTATCTATCTATCTATCTATCTATCTATCTATCTATCTATCTATCTATCTATCAGTCTGTCTCTCCTTCTATCTGTATAGATAGATAGATAGATAGATAGATAGATAGATAGATAGATAGATAGATAGATATGAACTTAGACTGGAAGTTATGAATAGATAAATAGGAAATTCAGATTAATCGATGGTGTTAGGTTTATATATATATATATATATATATATATATTCTCCCTCCACTTTGCCAATACAGGTAAATATATAAGTGAGTTTTGAAATGAAGCACGTAGATTTATTGCCTGATGATACCACACTGGTAGAAACCATGTTAGCGTAAAGGTGTGGGTTACAATTATATATATATATATATATATATATATATATAGATAGATAGATAGATAGAGAGAGAGAGAGAGAGAGAGAGAAAGAGAGAGTACAGGTAATAGATCCGTTGCTATGTAATTCAGGTGAATCCTAGTAATACCAAATAATAATTCTGCTCCACAAAGAGAGCTCAATGTATTTATTGTAACAGAGCATATATATTACACAGCCAAAAATCCAAAATTAACTCATTCTGGTCTAGCCTATTTCAGCTGGCGTAACCTTGTGCCAATCTTCTTCAAGCCTGGACTGGGCTCGTCTAGGAATCTAAGATTTAGAATTTAGTTTAGATAGCAGTCGAGGAAAAGACACCGAGCCTATCCAAAATGACGTCTCGGCCAGATAAAAAGTCCGTGTTGGTTGTAAGGTGAAGGCGGGAGGTATCTCTCTAAAAAATGGGGAAGAGGGCCGCTGGAATCGACCCCCATATTAAACTTATGATCCTAAGTTGAGGTTATATGAAGAGTGAGGTGTTGAATTGAAACTAAAATAAGGACCGAAAGAGATAGATAGATGAATAGATAGATAGATAGATAGATAGATAGATAATTGGATATGAAAAGAATAGTATAGGTAGTTGTATAAATTGCTAGCTAGCTAGATAGATATGAACAGGCTCATATATATATATATATATATATATATATATATATATATATATATATATATATATATATATATATATATTCCCATTTCTTAGTTCCCTTTGAAAAGTGTTACAAAATGATGAGGTAAAAATATTATCAATTTTATTTTTAATTACACATATTTCATTTGCTTTTGTAATACCAGTTATTGTAATAATAAATATTATTCAAATTAGATAGATAGATAGATAGATAGATAGATAGATAGATAAGAACAGACCAAGACAGACAGACAGACTGACTGATAGATAGATAGATAGATAGATAGATAGATAGATAGATAGATAGATAGATAGATAGATAGATAGATAGATAGAGAACGGAGAGAGGGGGCGGGAAATTGGCTTATATAGAAAGTCCAATTTCTTTCCTTTTATTCGATACCACTTCCCTTTTTTTTTTTATCTGATCTTAGATTTGTTATTTTAGTCAAATTCCCATTCTTTTACCAAACTTTTTTCGCAAACGACACTAACTATCGTATTCTTCTAAACATTTTACTTCTGTAGCCTGTTCTTATCTAAAGGTCCTTACTAAGTCTCGAGACCAAATTTTAAACATTATTTAATCACACCTTTTCCAGTGGGAATTTTTTATATATATTTATTTATGAATAAAAATGACACTAGGAAAATTAGTAATTGCCGACGCGTTTCGTCCAATGTGGACTTTATCAAAGCAAAATACGTGTCAGCAATTACTAGTTTTCCTAGTGTCATTTTTATTCATAAATATTGTCTTTACTGGTTAAATCGGAGAAATTTTCATATATTTATTTATTTATATATGCTTGTGTGTTTATTTATGTCAGTGTATTTGCGTGTGTGCATGCGTTTGTGTTGTGTTCATGAGAAAAGAATGTGGAATACACGTACGAATGCAGAAAGTGATATACACTGAAAAGCAGTGATTCACACACAACAGATCTAGTGAGGCACACGCACATAGTCATAATTTCTCGTCATGTGTATGAGTTTGTAAGGAGATGTATCAACTGACTAGATGGCAATCGGGAAGATAAAGAAGAAGTCATTCGTAATATAAATACCAAAATGGCTTAAATAACAATTGACTACGAGGAAGGAATATTGTCAAAACTCAAAGACTATATTTGGAACCCTGAATCTTTTGCGTTCATTTTGATATATTTTGTGTGCTTTTTGCCATTAGATCTATTTTCTAAAGAAAAATAAGCATTGCCTCTTCATCGACGCTCATATCACGATTTTGAAGGAAAAAGACATTGTTGAGGATAAGATTTGGAATGCTGAATCTTTTGTGTTCATTTTGCTATGCTTTATGTCCCTTTGCCATTAGATTTGTTGGCCAAAAATAAATAACATTGCCTCTTGACCGACGCTCGTAACACGACTGTAAAGGAAAAAGATAATTGTTTAGGTCGAAATTTGGAATCTTGACTTTTTTGTGTTCATCTTGCTATGCTTTCGGTGTCTCTATTATTTAATCTAATGCAAATAAAGAAGAATATTACTTTTTGGCCCACACTGTTAACAATTATTATTTTGAAGACCAGATTTGGAATCCAAGAATTTTTTGCGTGTATTTTTCACTGCTTAGTGTGATTTTAATATTAGTTTGGTTGTAATTAAAGAAAATACATTACTTTTTGACCACGCTTTGTATCACAATGGAAAAGAAAGTGACTATGTTGAGGATGAAATTTGGGATTGTGATGCTTTTGTGCTCATCTTGCAATTCTTGGCATCCTAAAGTTATTTTGATGTAATTAAAGAAAAACAAACATAGCTTTTTGATTGCCTTTTGAGAAGGAATGAAATTACGAAGTCTGATCAAAATGTATCAAAACTGCTGCTATGAAAATAAAACTACAACACATATCAATTCAGCATTTAATTTCCTTCGAAGTAGTTCCCTTCTCAAGCTGCAAACTCTATCCAGCGTCGTATCCATTCATGAACGCATACCTGGAACTCCTTTTTTTGGGAGAGCGCGTAGCTGCCTCTTTGCATTCTCTTGGATTTCGTCGACATCTTGAAATCTTTTTTCTTTTATATGGGATTTAATTTTTTAATTTTAATTTTTAGAATTGAAAAAAAATTCAAGGGGTGAGATCTGGAGAATGGGGTGGTTGTCGGACCTGGGGAATGTTGTGCGTGACCATAAACTGCGGCACAATCCATGGCCACTGATTGAACCTCTGTGATGTGGTGAGACGACTGCAACTGCACACTTTCCTTCCAAGCACTACCATATACAACGAAAATGGCCGAAAACGTTATAATTTTTTTGCATGTATGCGCGAGAAAATTCAAGATCAATATGTACGAAGCGGCTTAACTCAGCTCTGTTACCATAGCAACCGCCTCGATACTTTTTTTTATTTGACCTCGTTTATTGGGGTCTAGATTTTGAATCATAATATTTTTATGATTATTCAGGGAATGATTTATTCGCTTCTAATATTAAATCAGCATTAATGAAAGAAAAATAATGCAAGAATTGTTTTTTAACCTACCTCCGTACACTTTAAGTATAATGCTAAACTGGTCAATTACTTTGTGCTTAGCTAAATTTAATCTTTGCGATGTTTTTCTTAATATCAAGCTGGGCATTTTTTTTGACAGAAACCAAAGTTATCAAAACTAAAATAGCGGCTCTGATATGTTTATATTTGCAATAGGAGCAATGGGCACCTAGGGGCCATAAATGTTGACAACGCACAAAAACTTCTAGTTCTCACAAAAACATAGTTCAGCCTACGTTTATGGTATTATAAAAATGGGACGGGGTAAATGATAGTAAAAATAGAGGTACTTGAAATATTTAGGGAAATTACCCCACCCACCCTGATATTTCAATTAAATGTGATTATATAGTTAATGACAGTGGGAATTTCAAATAAGATATTAATTTATAAAGACATAATTCAACCCCATGTTTTGTTATTGTGGCAGGAAATATCTAAAAAAAAAAAAGTTCAAATAGTGTTTTTTGAAGCTAGTTATATTTTTAAGAAAATAAAACGAAGACTTTTTAATAATGAAATGAAAAATGAAAATACGTCACTGAAGAAGTTCAAACAATAGAAAGGCCGAAGAATGTATCGGCCGAAACGTTACGTTAAAGAAAAAAAAAATCGTTGAAGTCTTTATAATAGTAGAAAAAAATGAAAATACTTCCCTCTGAAGAAGTCCAAATGAAAAGTGTATCGACCGAAACGTTGCGGCAAAGAAAGAAAATGATGAGATCCTTATAATAAAATGATATAAAAAAAAATACTTCACTAAATAAATCTGAACAATGGAAAGTCGAAGATTATGTCGGCCGAAACATTACGCTAAAGAAAAACATAGAAGTATATGTATAATAAAAGAAGAAAATGAAAATACTTCAATGAAGAAGTTCAAACACTAGAAAGGCCGAAGAATGTATCGACCGAAACGTTACGTCAAAGAAAAATAAAAATTGATAAAGTCTTTATAATAAAATAAATAAAGTGAAAATACTACACTGAAGAAGTCCAGACAATAGAAAGGCTGTTGTGTGTATCGGCCGAAACGTTACTTTACAAACAATATTGATGAAGTCTTTATAATAAAAGAAATAAAAAAAATATTTAATCACAGAATTTCAGAAAATATTGGACAAATAATATATTTGTCGGTAAAGCATCTAAGATAGACGATATTTCGAAGAATGTGTATGCAAAGATCTAAAAGTTATTCCATAATTTTAAAACAGTCTACATGTAGCTTTTAAATAAATCGGCTTCTTTGCAATCTAAGAATGTGATTTTAAGTGCTGTAGTTTATGAAGATAAAATGGTGTCTGCGAGGGGGAGAATATCTCTAAAATAGAAATGATATAAAGATGCAAAGATATGCCACCCGCACAAAAAAATGAGTAAAAATATTTCCTTCTGTAAAAGTCAAAATCCTGAAGCAGAGACGCAAAACGAGCCTCACCCCTACATCCACCCACCTGGATTCCGCTAAATATGAGATAAAATAATATTGATAAACTCTGCATATCTCTAAGGCTATGGCGTCATTCTCCCTCGGGTGGGTTCGTTTTACAGAAGTTGGTAGCTAGTATCTTTCTGGTGATGTGCCATGGAATCTTTTCAGTTAGCTTGTACCAGCCTCTTCAGATCATGAGAGATAAATAAAAGCATATATTCTCGAATGTGTTATGAAGTAGGTACCATTAAGTTTGCTCCAAGATATGAGATGTTTTATGAACGGACTCAAAATAGCAATCGTCTGCTTTTCAGATATGTTAATAAATACGGTTTAAAGAAATAGGACTCAATGTTTATGACAGTTCTTTAGATAACAACCTGTCTAGTTTTACTATCGGCTAAGATCAATATAAATTCATCATCTTGAGTTTTTTTTTTTTCTGTTGTCATTTAGGAAAAAAAAGGCGGATTAGTTTAGTCTTATTTTTATTAAAGCAAATGTAGTGTCATCACTTTGTTTCCATTTATTTGCCCTCAAAACACAGTTATCTCCCTTAGGGAAAAAAGACAACATCAGGAACGTAAATCTAGATTTATATGTTTTTATGTCAACATTATCTCTATTGTCTTCATCTAACCATTGTCAGTATTTTTTTCTTTCTTTCTCTAATTAGATACATAGTACGTACGTAAAACCCTGCTCGTATCTCCTAAATAATAGACTATTCCATTCTGATTGAATGGAAAAGACATATCAAAGATGCTGTTTGGTTTTACTGAGAAAAAGAAAGAAAGAACACCCCGCCAATAACTCATAAATAATGGGCTACTCCGTTTTGATCGCGATAAAAGACGGGTAAGATAAACCCCATAAATTCGAGGCCTTGTGCCAAAGGAAGCTAAACTTAATGCATATCCTTTGGCTAAATCTTAAAAATGAAGATGGCAATATAAACTGATTAATATTCGCATAATCAAACAACCGCTGTTTCACTATACTAAAATAAGAAGAATGTGTTGCGCCAAATGGTCGGAGCATAAATGCATTGAAAATCAATATTCAAATCCTGTTATTTTTACCCGCGGTTGAACACTAGTCTTTAATGTTGTTTGTATATGCGACATTTCTTACTACTTCTTATATATATATATATATATATATATATATATATATATATATATATATTATAATTTTTTCATATTGACAAAAACAATTTACTCACTACAAAGATACAAAGATACAACTTCGTTTCAGTGCATTTAAAATTGCACTTCGACTGGTGAGAAACAAAATGCTTTTTTTTTAATTTTTTTTTTTAAGCGTTTCACCCCAAGCAAGGTTACAGAAAATTTGGAGCGAGATCAGATAGGAGTGATAGAAGAAAGGATGAGGAGAAGGGT